TAAACTTTATACCCCCTATTCACAAAAGGGGGGTGTACATTTTTGTTGTTACAAAATCATATAACAACAGGTTGGTCGGAAAAAGTGTGTATATTATATATTTATTAGCGTATTTTTATATGCTTGATTTTATCGCACTTATATATTTTTCGGCTTATTTATTTATTAAATAGATTTAAGTGCTTTGATATTTTTATGTTTTATTTTTAGGAAATTGGAGTATTTTTGGAGTTTGTAGTATCCATTACGAGCCCCATTTTCAGCCCAATTTAGGTCCAAACATATACTCATTCCTATGCACTCCACGCAACATGGCCATCAAAAATAGTTTAATTTGGGCCCACTTTGAAATGGATTTGGTAGACTTAATTTGGAGGGGCTTGGAGAGTTAATTGTTGGAGAAGTTTTGACTTTTGATTAATGGGCCATTAGGAATTATTTGCCCAACACGCCCGGAATTATTTACGAGAGGGGAGCCGCCATACACTGATTATTTTTCTAGGGAATAAGACGCAACAGAGAGCCGCACGAAAACAGAGAGAAAAGGGATTTACGTAGAATTTACACAGACAGATACGAGAGAACCCGATTAATCGCGGAGGGAGGCCGCACCTACACACGAGAAGGATAACTTTATTCTTCTCTTTTCCTTTTTATTTATTATGTTAGCCTAAATTTTATTTCTAGTTTCGGGGATGTCAAACCCTACGACTTGATGATGTTTGATTAATTTATGGTTGATTATTGAGTTATCTTTTTAGAATTGTTTGTGTTATTTTGAATAATTAACCATGATGTGTTGAGTCTTATTTAGATTGATCACCTAGATTAGGCTCTACATATCTACACCTGAATTAGGCTTTCAATCTGTAATTGTTGATGTGTTTAATTCGCAAGTGGTATCCGGAAGATGGTAACTACCGGGGATAACACGACATATTTAAGTGAACGAACGCGTCACTACTTAGTCTAGCCTATTTTTCTAAATCGTAAAGCGGCTAATTGAATTAAATTTAGGAAGCGTTTCCTACACTGTTCAAGAGGTCAGATTTAATCGTAGAGCGTCTCGCGGTTAGATTAAAAATAAGGAAAAATTCGGGTAACAGACCGTGTCGTTACCTAGGGCTAGTAATGTCATAAGATAGCGAGATTTGATACCAAAGTTGATTAGATGAGTCAGTCGAGGGTGTAGATGGAACCGTGAACTAGAAATTTCTCTTATTTATTTTATTTTTATTTTTATTTCGTTTGTTTATATCTTATTTGTTTCATTAGAATTTTAATTAGTTTAGTTATTAAATCCAATCCCCCCCCTTTATCGCTTTTATAATTCAATTAATACAAGAATATCACAACTTGATTCACACTCCCTGTGGGTTCGACCCTTACTCGTCACTACTACTAGTTAGTAGAGATTAGTCAAAGAAAAATATAAATTTTAATTTTGCCGCGTTGCGACGCGCGGTCATCCCATTGGAGGGCATCTCCGACGCGGCGACTGGAGGAGCCCGGCGGAAGGGAGGAAAGCGCACCGATGGAAGGGTTCTCTGCTTGGCGATTTTGGGGAAAAAAATGAGAGAGAAAAAAGCCTAAGAATTGAGATTGATACCACCCTTGGATGATGACAAGTACACCTCTCTGAATTAATTAAATAAATATATAAAAAAAACGACATCTTGTATAGTTGGATGGGGGTGTCACCACTCACCATACCAAACCCATAAAAGGTCGAGAGAGGGAGAGAGCGCAATGTAGAATTACTACGTGGCAGGTAGCGACAGCGCATTGACCTGGTGTGACCATGGTGGACAGACAAACGCTCGCAGCGGCAGTGCACTGCAGTAAATTGGAAGGCACCCCACCACCACCAATCCAACGCTCTCATCTTCTCTTTCCCTTCTGTTTCTCATCTTCATTATCCTCACTGCAAATCTAACTTCATTCTCCACTTCGCGTGTTCGCGCGTGTGAAAAAAATGGTGTCCAACTACCTTCTTCTCGAGGAGCCCCTCAGGATGTCCTCCGTTCTCGAGCCATCTAAGCCTGTAACTACCTCGTACCTCGTACTATGTTTAAGTTTTCTTGATTTTGAACAGATCGTTGTGTGTTTAAGGTTCTTGATTTTCTGCTTGAATCTGTATACCTATGTTGCTGTAATGTCATTTGTCACTGTACAAGCATTTTGTGATCTCGCTTTCCTAATGTAAGATCTTTCTGCAGAGTTTCTTTCCAGCCATGACTAAGATAGTTGGGACATTAGGCCCGAATTCGCGGTCCGTCGAAGTTATTTCTGGCTGTCTCAAAGCTGGAATGTCTGGTGATTTCTTACAAAAACTCACTTCTTTCTGTAGAAAGATTTTGGTGGGGGGTTAATGATGTCTAGCCCTGATGTTAATTGGCATTTTACTCTGAGTGATTGGGCTGAAATGTGCTTAGTATTGTGTCGTCCTAATATGAGGTCTCGTACGAGGATCTTTCGAGTAGTTGTCTGCCTTCATTGCTGTGTCATGTAATATGTCTTCGAGCTCCGTTGTTAGCTTATCGATAAGTGATCCAGTGATTTTATTTTATGCTCAAATGGAGTTAGAACAAACCGAGAATGAATGCAAGTAATTTGGTTTTTCGTGTTGTGGAGAAGTTGATCAAAGGCATTCTTTAGTTGATATTTTTTTTTGGAAAGAAATAATTTCGCGTATTCTTTGGGAACTTTAGTAGTGGATCTTTTTGGCTGATTTGAATCTGCACTCGAAGACTAATATTAGAATTTGAAATTGTACTATGACACTTGATCTTATTTAAAAGCCTTTTAATAGTTGCAAGGTTCGATTTCTCGTGGGGAGATGCTGAATTTCACCAAGAAACATTAGAGAACTTGAAAGTGGCCATCAAGACAACCAAAAAACTCTGTGCGGTAAAGCATGATTCTAATTTCAGTAACTTTTGAATTGCAAAATATTTAGTAGATATACCTAAATTTATATGGATTCGGTCAATTAAAAAAACACCAATATTAACAGAAACTTCTAATTTTTACTAGGTTATGCTTGATACAGTGGGCCCAGAACTGCTTATAGTCAACAAGTCCGAGCAACACATTTCCCTCGAGGAAAATTCTTTCATTGTCCTTACACCTGATCAAGATAAAGAAGCTAATTCAAATCTACTTCCCATTAACTTCAATGGGTTATCCAAGGTAAAAGGCAGACGTTGTGGCTATCGGCCCTTGTTTTTTTTTTATTAACGCATTATGGACCTGATGTGTGCATGATAATGCATTAAATATACATATATATGTATGGAAAAGGACTTTTAAATTCATTCATATTGCAAATATTAGTTTCAACTACTTCAAATTTATGTTTCTTGACTACTGCAGGCTGTAAAAAAGGGAGATGACATTTTCATTGGACAATACTTGTTCACTGGAAGTGAAACAACTTCGGTTTGGCTGGAGGTATGGAAAAACTAGAAGTATTTGGTTTTATTTTTAATTCAAATATCATATTTTAGAAATCTTTACTTAAGTGCAACTTAAATGTTGTCTGATCAATATACACACCTGCTGTGCAGAGTTTGACATAAAATTGTGATTTAATTTCAATCAAGAAGTTCTGTATCATTTATTATAATTTTTTTTACCATACAGGTGTCCGAGGTGAAAGAAGACGATGTTGTTTGTCTGATCAAGAATTCTGCCACATTAGACGGGCCATTGTACACATTGCATGTCTCTCAAATCCATATTGACCTCCCGACTCTCACTGATAACGATAAGGAGGTGTATATGTTTCTTTCTTTTTTTTTTTTTTGAATAATGACACCACGAGCAATGTGGACTCCATCCAATTCTTTCAAGAAGTGTTCACTTTGTCCTTGTTCCATAACATGAGCTTCACATAATATTCTCAATTTTTAATCTGTCTCGTTCTACTTTGTGCAATTTTGCTTTTATAGAGTTTACCATAGTTTATTTTTTATTTCATGCCATTATCAGGTTATAAGCACTTGGGGACTTCGAAACAAGATAGACTTCCTTTCTCTTTCTTATGCTCGACGGGCAGAAGATGTTAAACATGTAAGTGAACTCTAGTCCTTCCTTTCTCCTTACTACCGGTCATTTGTTTTACAATTTAGTAAGAAATGAGAAATTTACGAATAGTGACGCACCACTTTCCTTCATATGACGGATGATTATTCAGGCACGTGAGTTTCTTTCTAAATTCGGTGACCTCAACCAGACACAAATATTCGCAAAGATTGAAAATGTTGAGGTAAGAAGCCTTGTCTTATTTTTGGAACTGACTTATAATAAGCTTAAAGTTGCACTGATCTTACAGTAAAAGGCTCGGCTCGTCAATACTCATTTCTCAAATTTTCTTTTGCAGGGTTTGATTCATTTTGATGAGATTCTCCGAGAAGCAGATGGCATAATCCTCGCTCGCGGGAATCTCGGGATAGATCTACCACCTGAGAAGGTTCATTATAAGCTTCAAAAGCATGATTTATTGCGTTAATATCCTTTGATATTAGTACCTACTTGCACAAATTGCACCCCCGTGAAGGATTATTACAAACGAGTACTTTTTGAGGTTCAAATCTGATTATAAGGAGAGTTATTTATTATACATTCAACATTAGCTATACCCTGTTGTATTCTGTTTAAGAAACACCCTCTTGAGGGAGGTATTAGTCGAGTAAATACAAACATCACGATATTTCTACTTTCTAGGGCCTTAATTGTTTATGTTCAAGTTAATTACAAACTTACAATCACAAATTCCAATTGTGTGCCATAATTTATTTTCTGCCTTCTTTTGTATTTTCTCTCTATCTTTGTTGAGATATCTACTTTTTTCTAGCAGTAGTCATTTTCTCTTCACAATTTTCGAACTATATGTTTTACTTAATTTTTCAGGTATTTTTATACCAAAAGGAAGCTCTTTACAAATGCAATATTGCTGGGAAGCCAGCAGTGGTCACGCGTGTTGTGGACAGCATGACAGACAACCTAAGACCGACTCGTGCTGAGGCAACTGATGTTGCCAATGCTGTACTGGACGGTACCTTTTCCATTTCTCTATAATATATTTTCAGTTAATTTCCTATTTGCATCTTAACTAATCGTCTTTCTACTTGAAAGATCTATGGAGGCTTTATTTTTGCTCTCGTTTTTAGGGAGTGATGCTATCCTTTTGGGTGCCGAAACACTGCGGGGATTGTACCCTATTGAGACAATATCAACTGTTGGTAAGATTTGTGCAGAGGTGAGATTTATTTTTCATTTTACCTTGTTTATCAATTACTGTCAGGAATCTAATAATTTATTTTCGTGTCTATCGATCATTCAATCTGACTAAAACACCCTACACATTCATAGAGATCATAAAAGGAAAACGAAAGAGAAAATCATTAGGCAATCAATTGATTTCAATTACTGGGAGATTGTCTTGCAGGTGCAAGTACAACACTGTTCTTTTGACTAATCACTTTTTTTTTCCGATTTACAAATTATGAACGATTCTCTATTAATTTTATCTTCAGCAAAATAGAGTAAACCTTTGAGGGCAAATTTTACGATGTATATATGTTTAATGGAAATCAATGCATATTCGTGCTGATGATATTTTGGCTCATTAACTTAAGCTTATTTTCTATATGCAGGCAGAAAAGGTTTACAATCAAGATCTCTATTTCAAAAAGACAGTCAAGTATGTCGGTGAACCCATGACGCACCTCGAATCAATAGCTTCCTCTGCAGTACGAAATAAATTCGACCAGGCTTTTATTTCCCTTAAATTTTTAAAATTTCTTTCAGCTACAATACAAATAACCATGTTTTGGAAATTGGTGATTCAAATTGTAAAATCCATATACTTTGTAGGTAAGGGCTGCCATCAAGGTGAAGGCATCGGTCATTATTTGTTTCACTTCATCCGGACGAGCTGCAAGGTTGTCTATTTCATATTTTGTAGAAAATATTTTATATCTGTCTATTGAAGATTAACGTGGTGAAACATTGAATCCAGGTTAATTGCCAAGTACCGACCCACAATGCCTGTTTTATCTGTTGTTATCCCACGTCTGAAGACGAATCAGCTACGCTGGACCTTTACTGGTGCTTTCGAGGTATTGTGGTTCTATTTGTTTATTTCATCCTTTCTTCTTTTTCTTATTTTTTTTTCCTTCCTAGTTATCCAATGCTCAACCTATAATGAATGCATGATGCAGATGCTAAAGAACTATGCATTGTTAGATATGAATTTTCCGCGTTCGATTTAAGTTGACACGAGTTTTCTCATTGCAGATGTTTTCTTTTAAATTCTTTAATTACGCTCTAAGACCATCTCTAATTCTTCGGTCCTTTTGGAAGGATGTCTTGTGCCACATACGATATTTCACCTTCTGTGTAAAAAATATTAAACGTGAAATTTGCTAAGTGTCGTGTCAACAATTATGGATGTAGCATGTAAATATGGTCATGTATGCTTTCACCTCCATTTTTCTTGCCATAAATTTGTTAAAAATTATTGTTCCTCAGTTTTTTAGTTTAACATTGTTCTCTTTCTGCATGCGCACTTACTCATAGGTGAATTAATGTTTATCGGCAGGCAAGGCAATCTTTGATAGTGCGAGGGCTTTTCCCCATGCTAGCTGATCCTCGACATCCTGTAAGAATATTTATCCATTTCCTTCTCCCAGATTTGACTGTAAAAGTGTGTGCTTTAAACCAAGGGATTTCATATCCACACTGCATTTCATGCAGAGCTCTAATAATAAGCCGCGATCAATTTTGCAGGCAGAACACACAACTGCAACGAATGAGTCCGTTTTAAAGGTTGCTTTGGAATACGGAAAATCCTCTGGCGTTATAAAATCCCATGACCGTGTTGTCGTTTGCCAGAAAGTAGGCGATGCGTCAGTCGTCAAGATCATCGAGCTCGAAGATTAGATATTTCTACGTTACTTCCTTTGATGAACTTTTAATTCATTGCTCGGCCGCCTCTTCTTGTTGAACATTGGATGACGACATAATGTGAAAACATAATGTCGATGTTCCTGCAAATTTGTCGTCTCGCATGACCGGTACAAGGGTTTGAAGCTTCATTGTACTACTGTATCACATATGGATATATATATATAATGACTGCAGATTACTAAGGGGGTGATTGGATATATGTCATTTTGAATTTAATTGAATTTGTTGGATATATATGTCATATTTACGGATGACAAATCTAAATTGAAAGACGCATAATTAAAGGTTATCTGTCATTTTTTTGCCGATCCATAATTGAAAGACGCATAATTTTCTCATGTTTTACAAATTTTTTTTATTCTCCCTTTTTTTCTTTAATTTGATAAAATAAGAATTACAGAAATAAACATATATAAATATGTATATACACACAGGAATGCATATGAAATTCAAATGCTATTGTATGTATTTTTATTTTTATCAAATACATGAAAACTCTAAAAAAAAGGTTAGTACTTGAGAATCTATTAGAGCATCTACGATGCATTGGGTCTAGTCTTGCATATGTTGCATGTAAATAAACCCAAGTCTTAGATAACATGGATAAAAGTATGTAAAATTAATAAAACTTACTCCAATGCAAAGAGACTAGATCTCTACTTGAGTCTAAAAATAGACTTAAGGGTAGACCGGGTCTCTTTTTTTGGCTGCCACATCAGCAGGACCCAGTTTACTTTTGTTTGCACTGGAGAATACATTTTTGTAGACTAGGTCTATTTCTTATGTGTCATATAATTTTTTGTGATTGAACCCAAAGCATTGCGGATGCTCTTACTATATAATATGTTAAGAAAAAATGTTTGAAAAAACTCCAAAATAATTCATTGGTTTCCCCGCTTCGTTTTCATTTTCGGTCAATTTTTTTTAAATCTTTTCATTATCCTGCCAACATAACCGTAATTGACATTAATTTTTTATTTTTTATTTTATTTTATTTCTTTTTTGGTTGAGAATTTGCCTAAATTTATTCCTTCTCTTTAGGATGTGATTTTGTACCATTTAATTGGTGATAACTGATTTGTATTATACCCTTATAATCCGTTTCTTTTCCTTTTTTTTATGATGGGATGGTATTTGGTTGATTTTTTTTTTCTTTTTTGTACAGATTGAGTTCACTTGGGTTTTATTTAGATGAGATTTGATACATACAAATAATACGCAAAATCGCAACAAAAAAAAAAAAAAAAAAAAAAAAAAAAAAAAAAAAAAAAAAAAAATTGGATTATAAACAAATTTGTATAATCCTACATAAATCCATCATTCCTTCTGCAAAAACAGAGAAACACATCGTTAACATTACAGACAACAAATAAGATCTACATGAACAACATGAAAGGGAATGCAGACATGGGGTACATTCCTTGCAGAAAATAGCGATCAAGGAACATAATATTATTATCTTAACTTTCATATAATCACATTTCTAACTAATTAATATAATTATATTTATCTAACTGGAATTTTCAAAATATAATTAATATAATATTTTAATTAATAAATCTTTTGTCTAACCGAACTTATCTCATTAACAAACTTGCCAAAAAATTTTAAATTAAAATAGTAAGATTATTCTTACATGTATATTTCCAGAATATTAAACACTTTCGAAACTTTTTGAAAGCAAATTTTGAATTATTTTGCCTTTTACTCTATTTAAAATTCAAAATTAAATTTCTAAATATATTCATAAACATTATTATTTATTTTTTTCTTATGTAAAATAATCTAAATTTGGTTATTAGACTTTTAAATTCAAACATCTAAAGAAATAGCTCACGAACAAAATTTTGGTTACATTTCATTTTATCTTAACTTCCATATAATCATATTCCTAACATACAAATTAGTATAATATTTTTTTATCCACATTTATATAATCAAATTTCTTAAAATATAGTTAATATAATATTTTAACTAATTAACATTTGTATAACATGATTTTTCATAACAAACTTGCCAAATATTTTTGCAATTAAAAAAATTTGGATGATTTTGATTTGTAAAAAAAATAAAAAATAGCTTTACTTTAAAGTCTGGATTATTTCCATTATTTTTTTTGTACATTAACAATCATATACTGAATACTTATATAAAAAAAAATTCAAAACCGTAAGGTTTAAGAATATTCATTAAATAAAAAATATTGTATAAAGAGAAGTGCTTAATAATATATGTTATCATTGATTGTATTTAATTTATTTCCATAATGAGATGAGATGTAAAAAATATAAAGAATTATATTTAAAATAAAGTCTAAAAAAAGTTTAAAATATGAGCTCCTCCGTGCATCGCATGGGATATACACTAGTTTAACAAAGAAGAGAAGAAGTTCATTTGTTATATTTAAAAAGTCTAGAAATTATTATTTGGTCCTTTGGGTACTTCTGCTTTATTTTAAAATTTGTAATTCCCAAAATACTCTTGTAAATTAGCTTTTTTGACTTTAAATACGGCTTTGGAGGGAATCCAGACACGAGCCATATTACATGTTCTCCAACCCAACCAATATTTGAGCATGATACAACAATTATACACAAATTATAAGTGAAAGTTACTAGCCATAAACTTCACAAGTTCGAAAACACAGTTAACCACTTACGAATATTGGTGCGTAAATAACTCGTTGGTCCCTTTAATGAAATACTCAAAGAGCTTCTGAGAACCGCTGCTCAACTGGACCAGGGTGGCCTAATATGCCTTTTTGCTCGGTTATTTTAGCCAGAACTCGACTCAGGCTGCTGCTTATTCTTGTCATCCTCTCTCCAAAATCCGCTTGCCGCTCTCTTAGTGGCATCAAAGCCGCATGGCTCAATTATCTTCGCATTACTTTCGCATATTTATCGTACAATTGTTTCACACTTTATCAAAATTACGTTCGCCTGTTTGTCGTATAATTATTTCGCATTTTATCAATTATCTTTGGTGTTTGTCGCATAGCTTTACTCATCAATTATATTTGTATGTCTGTCAGATATATGTTTCGCACTTTATCAATTATGTTTGCTTGTTTGTTGCATAGTTTATCGTAATTGTTTTACGGTTATCAATTATCCTGTATGTTTTTCGCATAGCTTATCATATAATGTTCACACTTTATCAATTATTTTCACCCGTTTGTCGCTTAACTTATCATATACATTGTTTCACACTTTATGAGGTGAAAACATTTACTTATTATTTAGCGTAAAACTTATTTCGTCTTCGGAACGGGTGAAAATTATTTTTTCCTCTTTCTATACATACGTCTTTCTTTCTTTCTTTCTTTCTTTCTTTGCTTTTAGTTTATTTTTACTTTTTTTTATCGGTATCTCCAACGTCTTTCTTTATGCACCGGTAAACACAACATCGAGCTTAGAGATATTTGTTTTTAGTGTTCTTTCTTTTCCTCTTTCAGCTAGATTTTGACTATCAAGGGAAATAAACATAAAAAGAAAAAAAATATATAAACAAAAATGACATTCAAATGAGAGACAAAAATTTCCCATGAGATTATCCTTAGTCTTGAAAAGGTTAAATGTGTTTCTCTATACCACTTTGTGATGTCCCAATTAGTTTGTTGTAATCAAAGAATGACTGATTGAAATCACAAACAAAGATTCACCGGTTTTGAAGGGTCTCGATTGCCTTTTTCCATTGCATTGCTCTTTGTTTCGCATCCTCAAATGACATAACCTTCTTCGGCTGCATCAACATGTATAATACTATGATATCTGGTATGAACGTCAATAATAAATAAGCATAAATATACGACTGCATTTGTTGATCAAAATTTATGTACAATGTTGCAAGCAAATGTAAAAGTTGGCCCTCGGAATCATATAATGCACAAAATCCCAATTGTTGAAGGCTTTATGTGACCAGGCTGCTCTACTGATGCTCAATGAGACATCTAACTTTGCAACCATTTTCAATTTGTATATAAATAACAAAGGCATTAATTTAACTAATAAAGAACATTGAACAAGAAGATTGCGATTAAAGAAGATAATGCTCGAGTATTTATCTCATTGAGCATGACTTACAGTGCAAATCTTGAAGTTCGAAGGGCTTGTGACTTGAATGCTGAGATCGTTAGGGTTATCGGACCATATTATATTTCCTTTGACCACAAGTTTTGCAGGATCCACATAAATTAACTTTGGTTTGTTTGTGAGGATAAGTTGCACTTTCTTGTTCGTCAGTTTCTGCAATTTCTTCACATTGGAGATCATGAGCACCGATTCTCCGGGCTCCAAGAATTGTTTCCTGTCAAAATTCATATTTACAGAAATATACTTCAGCTGACATGCCAAAAATAATAATAATAATCAAATATAGTAGTGTACAACATGTAAGCATCCGAAAGTTCCATATGTATCACATTAATATGATCAGTAATTTTATCCTTATGACTTCAATGAGTGATCTAAAACTCGTTTTCCTCTCACCATTTTGAATCAAAAGAATCAATGGAAGCAAGCCTAGTTATGCTACCAGCTTCAGAAGCCGATGCATTTCCATCATCATTTGTTCTTGTTGCTGAAAACGAGCCTTGCTCTTGACCTCCAGTGGATTGAGCCTGATCCAAGAAAATATTTTAGATACAAAAATAGTATTCTATTTTCGTAAAATAAATAGAAGAAAGTTTTACCCTTGGCTCCAAAGCAAGTTTAGGTGGGGTAGTTCCTTCCCTCAAATTTGTCCAATCAATCCCTTTGAAAAAAAGATGGTTTTTAAGTGAAGCATAGCCACCAGGTCCTGCCCCTGGTCGCCTACTCGGATCTATGTCCTATATACCAATCGTTTAAATGTAAATGTATCAACACAGAACAAATATAGTTAACAATATCATAATTCTGTTGACCTTTTAATTATTTTTTATTTATACCAATAACTGATCGATCAGGTCTCGTGCTTCGGTTGAAAAGTAGTTTGGAAATCTGATATCTCTAGCAATAATTCTTTGGAAGATTAGCCATTCACTAGCATCTTTAAAAGGAGAAGTCCCTGAAAGCATTTGGTACAATGTACATCCAAGCGCCCACAGGTCATTCCTGGTCACACACGTACAAAAGATGTTGAAAAAATTAACCCATTCAAACAGTTAAAAACAAACAAGTGCATGCCTTCAGAAGATAAAAAGGCTTCGAAAAATCGCTAATTAGTTACCCAAAAGTTGCTGGGGAGGAATTCAGAACTTCAGGAGGCACATAAGCGGCTGTTCCCACAAAAGTGCATGCCTTGTCATCTGAAATATTTTTTTTTTTACCAAAAATTAAATGGAAGTTACAACAAAATTAATCTTTGAAAAATGATTATTGTAATGTTTCAATTGAACCGAAAAAATTTGTGAGTACCTGATGCTGCATTGGGAAGGACAGTTATTCGGCTGCCTTGCATTGGCTTCACACTACCAAAATCAGCTATCTTTATATGCCCATCTGTAGTAAGTAGCAGATTCTCTGGCTGCCATTTTACAAATTATTACATTTCCACAGTAATAACAGAAAAAGCTTCCAAAATAATCTATCTTTAAGTACCTTAATATCACGATGTATCAGTCCCATACTATGTATATATTCGAGAGCATCCACAACTTCTGCTGCGTAAAAACGAGCCTCATCCTCAGACAAACGGCCTTTCTGCACCATAAATCAATTAGATTAGTACTGCATATGCGTTGTTGGGAGGACAATTAGCAAATATTTACTAGGGTGGAACATAGAAGCCAGGAAAAACAGAAATATTAATACATTGCACGACTATCTTTATTCTCGGTTTGTAAATACAAAAATCCCCAAGTTAAAACAGGAAGATGAATGATTTACAAAACAGGAAAACGGCCCCATTGATAATACAACCTTTAGAAGATTTTAAATCACGTGGAATGTAGATGTCGTAGAAATAACTTGCTACCCAATAAAATATTATGCAATTAGAAATATAACATACTAGTTGCTTGCTTCCAGGTCAAAACAAAAAAAGAGAAGGCTTATACTAAAAAGTCAATAATTTTCTTAGACCTCGATTCATGATCATATTTGGAATATGAATTTCAGCTAAAGTTATAATTATATTATACAAAAAAGAGCACAAGCTTCTAAGTCCAAGAGTTTGCTTACCCTGGTTATTTGATCAAAAAGTTCTCCGCCATCGCACGATTCAAGCGCCATGTCTTCAGAATATTAAATGCAGGAATATTGAATTAAATTACTCTCATGACTAGAAAAGAAGAGGTGAAAGAAAGACGACGAAAAAAGCAACCAATGTAAATAACTGAAACAGTGCTTACAGAGTGAGAAAGTATCTTGAAAAGTGAAAAACAATCGCACTACACCAGGATGATCTAACTGGTCCAATACGATGCGCTCCAATTTCACATACGCAGTTTTGTTTTCTTTCGTGATGAACTTTTTATCCATGATCTTCATGGCATAAACATTTCCTGTGTCTTTTTTCTTTGCCCTCACAACCTGTTCACATAAAGGTCATTATCTTAGTGAGTCACAAGACTCAGTTAATTACCAAAACTCAAAATGCAGTAGAAAAAAAGCTCCATGCGCATAACGGAACGCAAAATGCAACCTGCACTAGTTTCTCTCTCCCCCAAACATAGATATGCCTTTTTACTGTTCATCATCAAGGCGAAAGTATTGCTATTGTGCAATATGCGCGCTCGTTACCTTAGAATTTAATTGCTAGTACGTAGTTGTGCGACAGGATAGGAAATATTAAAAAATAATTTTGTTAGGACTATAATGCGGTAAAGAACTATTAAAAATAATTTTATAAAAATAAATATCATGTTAAGTCACACAATTAAAGATTTATTATTTTTAAAAAAATTATGCTAGGACATATTTATTTTGGGGCATGCATAAATTTCAATTTGGGGCAGAAAAGTCAACTAGTAGATAGCTCAATAAGTAGTATTTATTTTTTTTGTAAAATTCTTCATTACATTGATAGAGATTTTAAATATTATTAAGATTTATTATTTTTAAAAAAATTATGCTAGGACATATTTATTTTGGGGCATGCATAAATTTCAATTTGGGGCAGAAAAGTCAACTAGTAGATAGCTCAATAAGTAGTATTTATTTTTTTGTAAAATTCTTCATTACATTGGGAATATTGATAGAGATTTTAAATATTATTAATATATAATAAGTAAAAAAATTTACTATTTCAGTTAAATAAATAAAATTTAAATATTATTTAATTAAGGGTTTATGGTATTTTAACTAAATAAAGCAAACCAAAAGACCGGAATATAATTTATCAAAAAAAAAAAAAAAAAAA